GCAGAACCAGAGAGAGAGAGACAGAGACAGAGCGCAAGTGAGCCATTCAGGACCCCTCCTGTCTCTCAGGAACTATTCCTACCCCCCATTCTTATTCCCCATTCCTTTTCTCCAATAAATTTTCCTACTCTAAAAAAAAAAAGAAAGAAAGGACTAACGAATGAACTCAATAAACCCATAACAGAAAAGCAGTAGTGTGGAAGTGGCAGGACAGAACGGTTGATGAAAAAAATGAGGACTTACTTACCTTTGCATTCCTTGTACATCATACCATGCCTGGTACACAGGAGGTGTTTGATTAATACCTGATTGGGTTAAGGCGCAGTCACTCACCACAATATTATTCCAATAGTATGGCGCTCCAGGGGCACAACTGGTGAGCGTGCGTTGCTTACACGATAGTGTAACTGCCTACCTTACACAGTGAGCCCCCATTTCCTCTACACAGATTCTGCCATGAGCCAGGACTTCAGCCAAGTGGTGAGGAGAAGAGACAGCCTCCAGCAGAGGTGCTGCAAAAAACCCTACATCCCTCTCAGCCCTTCAAAGATACCTCCCAACACCCAGTATCCAAGCCCCACATTGTATTTTCAAGCAGATGAACTTGTTGCAACAGACTGAACACTATAACATTTTTTCACTTTTTTTTTTAACTAAAACCCCAAAGGTATTGTCATGACTTCAGGGCAGTTACAAGTGACATTGTCTGGGAAGCCAAAAAGTCACCAGCATAACTGACAGTTTATCCTCACCTCCAGACAGCCCCTTCTTCAGGGGTCTAGTTATTCCATAAAATTCATAAGTCAGTATCTTGCACCCACCAAGCTGCCCCCACATGCACAACACGGAAACATATGTTTCTATATCTTAAGGGTGATGTTTAGCCGGGTGTGGTGGCGTACACCTGTAATCCCAGCACTTGGGAGGCTGAGGCAGGAGGATCGTTGTGAGTTCGAGACCAGCCTTGGCTACAAAGTGAGCTCAAGGCCAGCCTGAACTGCATAGTGAGATCCTGCCTCAAAAAGACCAAAAAAAAAAAAAAAAGATGTTTTTTCAATGTCATTCAAAACTCTTCAGTGAGTCATTAAATTAAAATGATGACTCCCGGCCAACATATACATCTCATGAACATAATGAGATAGGAAAGACTGACTATAATAGAAAGTATCAGAATGCCTCATACATAGGTGTTCACTATTTCACAAAGTTTGTGTTAGAAATGTAGATACTGTTACAGTTACATGTGAACATGTAAACAGAATTCCTTATTGCGGATTGAAGCCTAAATGTTTAAAAGTTTCTATAATAAAAGATCAGACAGCAATAGCTAGAGAAAGGATTTCTGGAGTTATTTAAGTTTGAATAGCAATTCTACCATTTATGTGCTCAATAAGCTCAGCGAGCCGCTGTATCCCCCTATGCGTGTTTGCTCATGTGTATGGGGGGGCACTGTACATGGACAACACAGGCCTGATGTCCAGTAAACAGTGTGGGGTGACTTTACAGAGTCTCTTATGAGGATCACCCAATCTGTGGGCACTTGGGATCTCGGGGTTGAAGTGGCGGGCAGTCTCAGTGACATCACACATTCAAATTTGTAAGATTCACAGGATCCATTTAGAAAGGATTGTCCCTAACTCCACAAGCACGGCGTCTGACCCTTTAATACTTGTGTTGGAGTTTTACAGTGACAGACACAGCAGAAACCAAATGCCTGAATGTTGGGCTAACAACCAGAGCAGAAAGTGAGGAATGGTTCTTTCTCAAAGCAGTGTTGGGGCCTGGAGAAATCTAGTTTTCTGAAGTTCCTGGGCGGCAGCAGCCTACACAGAAGCTCCAGGAGTGCTGTCATGGCTCAAGCAGCTGCTTCTGGAGGAAGAGGCGAAGAATTCTCTGCTGTTATGCCCCCGCCCACCCACGCCTCCCTTCTCCACCCAGCACCCAATCACCAGCACCAACTTCCATGATGCTCCCAAGGAGCGCAGCGTCCTCCTGGCATCTCTTTCCAGCTGCACATGGAAGGAGGGAGGAGGAAGGACATTCAGCCTGAAAGACTGAGACAGCACCCAGGGCAGGGAGGAGAACAGAGGTGCGCAGGGAGCCAAGGAGAAAAATAGCAATGCAGAAAAGAAATGGGACACAGAAGTGACAGGGAAACAAAGAAGAGTAAACAAGGTGGGGGAAGGTGTGAAGCGTTTAAAAACACAAACCAAAAATTAAAGCATGAACACAAAAAGAAAAAGAGTAGAAGAGGTAACAAACAGAACGGGCTATGAAGACAAGAGACTGCTCTTGATCCAAGCAGTGGCCGTCGTCCTCCCTCTCCTCAGGCCTGGTCCTCAGCCCTGGCTTCTGCCAAGGAATTTCAGGGCAAAGGCCCGGGGCCTTTAGATAAATAGGCTGCACACACTGATAAGTCCCAGCTAGGCTGGGGACAAATACACTCCATCCCGCCTGCCACTGCCAGGTGCTGCCTCAGGTGTCCCCACCCCTGATCCTTTCCCAGATATGCGGCCCCGCCTGCCTTGCAATTCCTGTCAATCACGGTCTCATCCCTCATCACCCTCAGAGACATGCTTTATCTGAGCTCCGTATGTTGCATCCCGCATCTGACATATTTGAGGGCATTCAGATATCTTTCAGGTTTAGGCCTGTTTTTTGTTTGTTTGTTTTTGCATTTCAGAGAACTCAAGGATTAAGAAGCAGAGGCCTATAACCATCACCTGGCCTGGCATCCTAGGAACATCCCGGTTTTGTGCAAAGGGAATCCCATCCTGCCACTGTCTTCTGGCACTGCCCTCTTAGCCCAGGAGCTACCAGAGGATGTGGCCTGGCACTTGCTTCCTGTCTGGATCTCTCTTGCCAGTTCAACCTTCCAAATCACAGGCAAGAGGTAGTCAGTGCATGGAGAAGAAGAGCCAGTGCAGTTCCAAGTCACTTGTAAGGGGCTCAGCGGGCAGTCTGACCCCACACACCCTCAAAATAAGAAGCCCTACAAACAAACCCAGGCCCTTTCAGCTAAAACGAGAGCAGGTGCCAGGCCTGTTCCAGTTTCCTGAAGCACAGCACTACCGTGGCAGCTGGAAGAAGAAAGACAAGAGACGAGAGAACTTCCCTGTGCCGTGAGGAGGCACCAGCCTCAGAAAATACCTGAGTGAGGCTGCGGCATCTCCTGCTCCCTGGGGAGGAGCAAAGGGTCTTAGTGGCCAGGCGTTCAGGGCCGAAGCCCCGGTGTTTGGGACCCAGGAAGAGAAGGGAATGAAAAGGGGAGGGAAGCCAGCACGTGGCCAGGCGGAGCCACAGGGACAAGAAGTGCGAGGATAAGGCCTCTACCAGGCCTCCAGCCTGAAATCTGGGCCCAGAGTGACCCCCTGCTCTGCCACACCCCATGGCTGCCATGTTCACTCACCAAAACCTGAGATTTCCCCTTAAAATGCAGATTGGGCACCTGGGAATAAATCTGACAGGCCAGCCTGGCTCAGGTGGTGATGGGGGCCATCCTAAGTCACTTTGGGCTTCAGAGCTGTCTCTGAGACAGAAATACAGAGCATCTTTCAGGACACCGGCTCTGACTGTGACAAAGTGGACAAAATGCTCAAAATACAAGAAAAGCAAGGGGCAGGACCCAAAGAGGCCTCACTCCCTGTTTCTCTGGACTCTCTATGGGGTGCCTGTGTGCAGGATTTCTGCAGAAGATAGTCCATTTTGTTAAGCCTTTGAATATTCAAATTGAAAGTATCGCGCAATCATTGATTGTCAAATCATGGGTTTCTAGAGGTTTTAAATACTTGGCATGAGAGGGAAAAAACTCAAACCTATACCCGAAGGTATAAAACATTAATTCTGTGTATCTCCTACTCCGGGGACCTGGGTGCAGCTGGATGCTTTGTGAAACTTTAAAAATGTCGCATCTCTGCCTCTCTCCCTGCACAGGAGCTTCCCCGGGCGCCGAGTCCCTGCAGCTGCAGCACCCAGGCTCTGACTCAGCTCCTGCAGACCACGATGTCGGGTAACTCAGCTGCGCCTCGGGGGTCGGGTCCTGCGGGCCAGGGGCCTTTCGGTCCAGGTGTGTTTCCTCAGCTTCTCCTGAATGCAACAGAGAGACACAAAGTCAGGGCACGAAAGAAAGGGCCGGGCAGGGAGCAGGGAGGCCGCGGGCACGCGGCCGCTCCCAGCCGGCGCCTGCTCCCCGGGGCACGCTGAGGCCCAAAGGCCGGCTCGCGGGCTCCGGACCC